GGGGGGTGGAGTGAAGAAGGTTTATTTGTAGGAGTCATTTAAATTATGGGAGGTTGTTTTAAGTGATTAAGATTGGCCTTAAAGTTAATATTAATATAATTCCATTATTGCATTCGTATTTTTAAAATTTTTAAAAAATTTTTTTCATTTTTTTAAATATATTTTAAAAGAATTTTTATAAAATATTTATTTATATTTATTTTATTTATATTTAAAATATTTTTATAAAATAAAATATTTTTATAAATAGGAAATTCCTTAAAAAAATTTGCTATCGAGTGGTAAACATTTATTAATATATATCTATTATTTCATCATTTTTCATTATTTTATCTCTTCCAACAATCTTTTATTATTTATATTTAATATTATCATATTATTATCAGTTATCAGCCCTTATTATTAATGATTACTATCATAGTATCATAATAATAATTTATTATTATTAATTTATATTATTATTATCAGTTATCATTGTCATTATTAATTATCACGAATAATGATCAAATAGTAGATTGTTCCAAATTATTACAAGCAAAATGGATCTGATCCTTATGTTCTCTAACTTGTCGATAAAAATGAAATTTATATGATGGTGTGTATATTCTTCGTGGAATATGCGCTTCTATGCTTCTTAGATGATAGTGTGGCACTTAGAGTTTTTAGTCGTAATAGCCAGTGGAAGCTCCCAAATTAGAGATAGTGGATATTGTTTGGATAACTATACGAATAATTATTATTGATATAGCTCAAGATAAGAGATATGTTGAAACAAGGGCAAAGAGAAGATTCAAGGTCACCGATATCCAAAGCTATAAGTATTGATTTTCGCTAGAAAAAGGAGGAAGAGAAGAGGAAAAAAACAATTAATAGTGGTAAGTTAGAGTTGAATAGCTCATTTTCAGAATTATATGGGGTTCTATTCCCAGTATTGTTTTAAAATTCAGGATTTTGAAGTGATAAACTTAATGATAAAAGTGATAAAATAAATTTGATAAAGATGATAAAGACAACAGAGTGAGAATAATATCGCACACATTGCACCATAGCAAATTGGCAATATTAAAAAGATTTTATAACTTTTTTATTATTGCTATTATTTTTGTCATTATTATTGTACTATTATTATTATTAATAATTAGTGTCATCTTTATTTATTTATTATTTTTGAGAAAATAGAATATTTATCATATTTTTAAGTATATTTCTAAATTTTTTAAAAAAAAAGATATTTATAGATTTGAAAAACTGGTCCACTGTTCTTGTACTCATTTGTTTTATTATGGGAGACAACTGAAATATTTCTTTTAATTCTTAATTTATCACATCATAGCGATATCATATTTATATCTTAAGTATTTTTCGTATTTTTCTATATTTTTTTTGTAAAGTTTTTATTAATTATCAATTTATTGGCGATAATAAATTATTATTTTAGAATGCGTAATGAGTGATAAAAAATTGGGAAAAAAAGGACATATTCGAGGTTTCATTTTTACTTATTATTTTTTTTAATTTCTTTATTATTTTATTACTTTAATGTTTATTTTTATATATATTTTTTTTATAAATTAAAAATTTTAACTTTTCGCTATTTTATAGATCTTCAAAAACAACTGGAAAGAACTTTAAAAGCAAAAAATCGCTTAAAAGCAGTGGAAATTTATGCTGAACTTGGTGAGCTTTATCGTCGAGCTGGTTCATTCGAATCGTCTATTGAATTTTATCAGCAAGCGGCGATTTTAGCTGAAAGATTGAATTGTCATGAAGATCTCGCGTATGCTTGTAGAGCAATCGCAGAAATTTCGGTTGATCCAAGTCAGTTGATATCTTCATTTGTTAAATTTTCATATATTTCTCGCAAAATTCTTGTTCGGAATTTTAAATTAATTAAATAAATAAAATAATTTAATTTAATTAAATCAATTATAATTAAATTTATAATTAAAAATTTAAATGTGCGTATTTTATCTCTTTTTTAGAAATTTTAAACAATGAAAAAGCAATTCAGTATGGTTTGAAATATTTTGATGCAGCCAAAAAGAGCGGTCAAGTTCATTTGATTCAATTAGCCTATCATGTCATTGGTTGGCTTCATTTGCAAGTCTATTTGAATTCGGATACTAAAGAGGATTCTTTTTTGACAAAGGTATTTATTCCTTAAATATTAATTAAATATTAAATATTAAGATATTGAAATATTATTTAGATATTAAAAATGAGGATTCTTTTTTGACAGAAATATTTATTCCTTTTAATCAATCCTTGCCTATTTTGTTTTCAGTCTTATTTATGAATTCATTTCTTTAAAATTTTTTAAAATTCTAATTAATGAAGGGGTTGAGGAGGATTCATTAAAATCAATCGCTCTTATAAAATAAATAATTAATTTAATTCTTATAGGGAAAAAATTGGTGTGAAAAAGGTCTTACTTATTTGGTGGAAAAAGCTTGTCTTATCGATGCTGATAAAAAGTATTATTTTCTTGGGAAATTCACTAGTTTTGCTTATTATTTTAATAATTTTATCTTTTTAAATTGTATATTTTTAGCATTGGTTGATTTCACTTATTAAAGGGATTTTTATAAGAGAGTCAGTCAGCGACAGATATAAAGACAACTTAAATAACACTAAAAAAAAAATCCTACCCTGCCCTCGTAATCAGTGGGATTAGCCAAACAGTTAATGGTAAATCCCCATTGCTTGAAGTTTTTTCTCAGATTATAGATGATAATTATGACTTATCTGTTTAAATAATATTATATTAAATCTGTTTTTAGTGCTGTCAAAATTGGACAAGATTCTCGTTCTCGTAAAGCTCGATTACGGCAATTGCTTTCTCAGATATGTGATAAATTAAATTTGCAGCATCAGTCTATACAACATCACAATGCAGCTATAGCATATGCTTCGTTAGTATTTTTAAATTTTAAAGATTTTTTATTGCTCAATTTTTTCCTTATTATTAAACAATTATTGTTATCGTTAAACAAAGAATATATTTATGTTTGTAAGAAAAAACTGGAGAAGTGATAATTGGAGCACTTGGAACTTGACCGTTAAACTGGAGAAATGGCTTCAGCATATTCCAGGAGCACCATCAGAAATCTCTTTTTCAGAAGAGCGCACTATTAGAATCAGCTAAGACCACGTAGAACCCTCAATCTTCCAGGCCTCTGGTAGAGGTCAAGAGGTTGAGGATAATCATGGTCATCACAGAGGAATGAGAGAAATAATTTTTTTTGTAGTCTTAACATTTTCAGTATATTAAATTTTTTTATTTTTTTTTAGACGTGCTGGCGATTATGATTTGTATTATCGTTGCCTTTTGGCTAAACTTAATTTTGCTGGCGATAATCGTTTAAAAACGGCTGTTGAATTGATGCATATTGCTTCTAATTTGGATGCAAAATGTCTGGCTGAATCGAAACATATACTGGCACAGGTAATCTTTCGAAATATAAAAATTTTATTCGAATATAAATTTGCTGGCTGGCTTTGCGAAAAAAAAACTTCTGATTTTCTGTAGTATTAAATTCACTTATTATTATTATGGTATTTTCTACGTATTTGCTATTTATTATTAATTATTGCAATGCAATTCATTTTGAAGGAAAATTTTAAAGGAAAAAATTCGTGCAAAAGATTTCAATGGAGCTAAATGGGATTTTATTTCTATGTTGTCATCAAAATTTTTTGACAAATTGGATGATGATGAGCGGAATAGTTTTGAACAAAGCATGATTTTTGGTAATTATTGCAGCATTTCAAATTATTTTTAATTTAGATTTACTTGTTTTTTAATCTTAATGATAAAAACAACAGAGTTGTTTTTTAGTTTACAAAACGGTTGAAAGGCTTAATGTGATAAATGAGCGAAGTGAATATGAAAAAATGAAGACTTATGAGAAAATGGCAGATGAATTTTTTGAGGTCATTTCTAATTTTTGTTGTAGTGAATAATTTTGTTTCGTTTCTTTTTTGATGTGATCTTTTTCTTTTTTTGTAATTTTTGCTTAAGGTATACATTGACATTTTTAGACTGAATTCAAGGAGGTGTCATTGCATTTTTATAAGCTTATGTTGGAACATGCCGATAATAATTCTGATCGTATCAAAGCACTGGTTTCACTGGCAGAAACTGCGAGTGAACTCGAAAAATATCAACAAGCATATGAATATTATTTAGAAGTTGAAAAATTAGAATCTGAAGAAGACATTGGCCCTAACAAGGTTAGAATCAGATCGTCGATTGCTCAATATTTTTTTTACGATTGTTTGAAATTGCTTTGAAGTTTTTCAGAGAGCGGAGACTGCTATTTGTATTGCAAATGCTGCTTGTAATGTCGACAGTTTATCACATTCGGTAAAAATTCGACTTTTTCATATTGCTGAAACTGCTGCTGTAACTAACCGACAAAAAGTAAGTAATTTTGTTCTTCGATGTTTTCTTCCTTTTTTAATTATTGAATTATATTACTCGTAAAATTTTTTTTCCTTTCACTGCTTTTTGTGATCTAATGAAAACTTTAATAAATGATGATATTTATTAATAACATATTTTTTAATAAATAATATATTTATTAATTCAGATCGATTTGCTGGTATCTTTTTCTAATTATCTGAAAAGTTCTGGTGATTCTGAAGATCTTTTGGCGGAATTGCAATCAAAATTGAAATGCGCAAAACAGCACCCTTCTACAGAATCCAGTTCAGATGATAGCATGCACGATGCTGATAACTTTTCCGATAAGTGGGATGAGATGAGCGATGTTGAGATTATTAATTTATGTCATTGTAAGTTGAAAACAGATCAAATTATTTCGATTTTACGGATGTTTATTGGTTATCTATTTTATAAAACAATTTACTGTTTCAAGTAGAAGCAAGTCATCATTGTATAATGGAGCGATTGAAATGTGAGAAAAATAAAAAAATCAATTCATATGGAGAAACAAGAATGCATGAAGCTGCAAGAGGCGGTGATACTAATTTGCTACGGACAATGATTGAATTGGTAAATATTTGAACAGTTAGTTATTCGTGCTTTTTTTTATTGCATCTTATTTTTTTAACATTTTGCTTCAGAATTAATTGTATCAATTGTTTTACGCTGCAATTATAGTGCATTTGCTACTAATTTCGAAAGTTGAACGAAGAAGTAATTAAGAAGTTCTAGGGTTATGATTTAAATCCTCGCGATGAGGGTGGTTGGACACCTCTGCATGAAGCAGTTGGAGCACTACAAGTGGAAAATGTTCATATATTGCTGGAAAGTGGAGCTCGTGTTGATATTCGCTCAAATGAGGGGACATTATCTGAAGACGGCGAACTGATGGTTTATTCTATTCTTTTTTTAATATTATATGAAGACGGCGAACTGATGGTTTATTCTATTCTTTTTTTATTCTTTAACTTGTTTTATTTGTAATGAAGTGGTTTTTATTCATGATTGATTGTCATGGTTGACTACTATCTTTAAATTCGTCCTAACATTCATCAATATTTTGGATTTTCTTGATTTTTTTTCTTTTAATAATATTAAAGTACCAAAAAAATTTAAAGAACAACGGAGGATTAACACCATTAATGGAAGCATGTGATCGCGGTTGTATAGCGATCGTGGATATTTTACTTCATTACAATGCTGATGTTACCTTAAAAAGTCGTGATGGATGGTTGGCTTCAGATTTTTTAAAAAATTCTATAAATTCTGGTATGATCGACGACGATGACATACAAAAAGCAAATAAGCTTGTTGAGCTAATGGAAAGTAAGTTGAAAAAAGGTAATAAATTTAAATTTTAGTCCGAATAGTCATATTCAGCCAATATAGCAAGTTTTCAAATTTTGTTATTAAAGAAAAATTTATTAATTTCACTTTTCGATTAATGGATTAAGATAACTTTATACTAAATATAATATTAAACATCGCTTTTAGCCAACGTTCCGACGAACAAAATTCCGAAATCTATTGTTCCGAAAATTTCTAACCCAATAGATTCAATTTCGAAAAAATCACCCATCAGTTACAAATATGGCTTTTCAAGATCTACCAGTATTTTATCTGGCGTTGATTGTCTCAATGAAGAAGATATGTGCATTGATGATGCTGATTTTATTGTAAATGAAGTAATTAATTTCGTATAGTTGCATTTCTTGGAATTATATCTTACATTAAAAAAGATTCTTGCAGAATAATGAGACTTCAAATCAGCCTTTTAATGCGAATGTTATTCCAAATGTTGCGGCGGATCTTGATGACAATGATTCCGAGATTTTTAGCCCAGTTTTTATTTCTGACGAAGATGTTCTAAGTATTTCTGGCATTTATTTTTTAATTAGTTTGTTATATATATATATACTGTGAGGTAAAATCCCTGGACCAAAGGCCGAAAGGGTTGTCGCCAGTAGTAGATGGAACCGGCAGAAAACAGCGGTGAAGGTCAAGATAGCTAGTTTGAGCCGCAGGTGGTGCTGGCTGGCGTCTTACCTGTATTTCTATCGCTAAGTGACTCCCTGGCATATTGCCCAATGCGATAAACCAGTGGAGAGAGTTTAACCAGTAATGGTGAGGCCTCTTAAAAATATATATATATATTTAACCCACGTTAAAATGCAAATGCAAGTAATTTTCGCAGATTTTTAGGTGATGATCCACTCGATGATAATTCAAAAAAGAGAAAACGAAAGCGATGTCGTATTTCACCATTTGAAATTAAACGAAAATCAAAAAATATAAATTCGATGTAGTTTGCGTTTAATTCTATCATTTTCTTTATTTCCTTTATTTGTATTTATTTTTTATTGCAAAATATCATTCATCTAAAAATAATTTGAAATGTTGAAACTATTATTATTTATCTATTAGTTTTCTTTTATCTATTATCTATTATCTATTATCTATTCTTTTATCTATTAATTTTTTTTGCAGTGGTTCGAATATCATTTCAAAAGATAGTTCTCCAGTTTTTTGTACGGAATTAGGAAGAGGTTCATCGTTTAATTCTTTGTCTGAAATTTCGTCCACCAATCTGTCAACTAATGTTTCTCATGAAGGCACATTAAGTTATAAAACTGAATTTGACCAACATAGTGGTGCCGCAACAGTATATAGCTCACCAACGCGAAGTCGATTCTCTAATGAATTTCGTGTGCAAGCAAGTTCGCAATTTTGCACAGAGAAAACGCAGCTTATTTTTCTGAAGGTTCATTTTCAGGTGATGAATGGTGTTGATATGTGCGTAAAAGGATTATCTTTTCCTAGGTCATATTTTTTTTTATGTGTTTTATGCATTTCTTTTTCTGTTTTCTATTTTTGAACCTATAATTATTTATCGATATCTTTTAATTTTTTTATTTATTAAAATTTTAGTTCATGTTTGGTCAAAGAAATACGCTTACGTTGCCTTGAGGAACTAAAAAATGATGGTGAATTTGATTCTTTGTCAATTATTTTGGATGGATGTGAAATTATGGATGATGTGCCTATTTCATTATTAATTAATAATGTTAATAGTAATCTAAATGCAGCAATAATATGTCGCATTAATGGTTGGCAGAAACCTTCGCCAGTTCGAATTTATCAGAAAAAATCAAGTAATAAATTAATTTCTTCACGAATTTCTATTATCTTATCGATTCCTACGAATACGCTTAATTTTAATTGTTTAATTATTAACGCTTAATTTAATTGAATTTTCAGACGGCATGGAAAATGTTATTGAAGCTTTAAAAGCTGGAAAGGATGGTATTCTCAATTTCTGTGATATGAATATTGGTTCGGATTCCGCACTTTGCGATGCATTTCAATTATTTCCTGACGATCAAATAACGGAATTAAATTTAAGTGGAAATTCTTTGAATGTTCGATTTTTAGAAATTTTAGCCAAAAAGTGTCAACACATTATTGATCTTGATCTCAGCTGCTGTAATCTCACTGGGTATATTTTTTCTGCAGATTATTTTTATAAATTCGTTTTTTTTTCGCAAAAAGCATTTTATTTTCTAACTCAGATCTATCTCATAATGCTTGTAAAATTTTTTTTAAATCAGCCGACATTTACTTGTTATTAACTTGTTATTATTGGTTTTATCAGTTTAAAATAAAGTTAATCTTTCCTTTTTTAGAAGAAATATGCGATTTCTTGTTGATGAACGAGTTAAATATGAAAAGCTCAAAAAGCTAAACTTCAGCTTCAATGATATTGGAAATTTTCTTTACAATAATTATTTATCGCAGTTCTTATTTGCTTGCCCTCAACTCGTTAATTTATTTTTAATTGGATGTAATATTAGTTACCAAGCTTTTGGAGAACTTTTGCAAGTTTTCAAAGGTTTAAAACCATTTTTTGCAAGTTTTAACTTTTTAAGATGTCTGGAAATTTTAGCCAAAAAATATCAACAAATTTAAATACCAAATTTTCTTTTATTCAAGGCAATAAATATTATTTTATTACTATTTCTTAGCTATGAAAAAAATTAGTGAGTGATTTTTCTTTCCAGGAATGGAATTTTTGGAGGTTTTGGATTTAAGTCAGAATGAGTGTATTACATCAGAACATGCTTCAGAAATCGTTAATTCATGTAAAAGGCTAAAACACTTGTATCTGAATGCAACAAGCGTTAGCCAAATTAAACTAAAAGTAATTTGAAATATTTTTCGAAATACAAATAATATTTAATTAATGTAGCTGATATACAATTGGCACTTATAATAATTTATAATAATAATTTGATTTGTTAATATGTTTAATGTCCGAGGAAAAAAAAACTCATCTGTGTCCTCCTGCTATATTTTGAGGAAAAGGAGAATTTCATTAATCCTCTTAAATAACCTTTTTAAAATATCTTCATTCTCCTCGAACAGCTCCTTTTTCTCTACTGTTTTATCTTGACACCTGTTAATAACATTTTTTTAGATTCCGTATAGTCTTTCATATTCCTATCAATCCTTTCCTAACAGTTCCCTTGAAACTTCGAAATCATAACTCATTAGTCTCAGAAACCCATCAAGTTCTTTGAAATCTTGTTGTACAAGAAAAAAATAAGGAAATATCGTTCATTCATTACTTCTGATAAGGTTCACTCCACTGGTTAGTTATCTTAAACTTTTTTTCAGCTAGAATTTCCTCAGTTATGGTCTCATAACAACACGCGTTCCCAATATACTCTTTTAGTTCTACGTCAAACCTTGTACACTTTTACCATAGCTGCATTTATAAATTATTACGATACAAAGAGCAGTCACTAAAGTAGCAAGAAAGTTGCTAAAATGACGTCATATGAGAAGGTATATGAAAGAGAATAAAAAGGAAACTATGAGTGGTGGGATTCAGTTAGTGCGAAAATAGTCCAATGTCATTTAAGGAAATAAAGGTGCTTCGAAGAAAATATAACGAATATCAAATGCACCCAGAAGATACCAAACAGGACTTCTTGCTAGTTTTAATAGGAATTTTTTTCTATGAACTCTCGTATTTCTGGTTGGATTCCATTAGCTTGTCGGTTCAAGCAGATTTTGCCAAAAAATTATTTAACCATAGGGATACAGATCTTTAGTATATCACTGTATGAATAAATTTTCCGCAAACATTATATATTATATAATTTCCAGAACGAGTGTTACACATGTTTGGAGACGATCGGTCTTTCTATGTGCAATTTATCCGAAAATGATGCAGTAATATTTCATGGTGATGATCTGCTAAAATTTTACGCTTCCTTAAAAGTCATTGATTTTTCAGTTAGTTCGGTTAATGTGGAGCATCTAAAAATAATTTCTAATGAGATCTGCTATAAGGTTATTATTTTATTCTTTAATTCAAACTGAATCAGCTTATTAGAACTGTGGAAAACATAAGATATTTTTAGATATTTAATATTTTTCGCAAATTTAGTATTTCGGAAAAATTTCTGGTTTTCTGAGGAATTCATTATGGAAAATTAAAGTTTAAAAAAGTAAATGAGATCATTAAATACAATATTCTTTTTTTTAGAATTCAATCATAAAGATCATTTTGAATGGTTGTTCAAAAATAGAATCTAATTTGACGACATTCGTTCAGTTCATCAACTCTCTATCATCGGTGAAGCTCCCTTTAGAATTTGAGCTAAAAACTAATTTTCGCGATGAGGTGTTAGGTTTATTATCCAATCCATTTAAGTGTTATATAAAATAAAAATAAATTAAGTGATGCAAAAGATAGTAATTTTAATTTTTCGATGCATCAATTTGATTATAGTAATTTGAATATAGCAATTTAATTGAAATTCATTCATTGTATTATATATATTTTTAAATTTATTAAATTTTCGAGCTAAAAAGTAATTTTCGCGATGAAGTATTAGGCGTTTATTATCCAATTCATTTAAATGCTATGAATTGTTCTATAAATTCTATGCTAAATGCTATAAATGGTGCAAAAAATATCTTTTTTTTTCCCATTTTGTAAATTTTTTATTTTGTAAGTTTTGTAAATTTTATGTTTTTTCCTATAGTTTCAGTCAGCTATGGATTTTTTGCTAATATTTTCGATATCGATTAGAAGCTAGAATTGTGATGTTAGTCATAAAATAATATCATTGAATCCACTTTTTTTTCACACCATTTTCTGATATTATTGTTATTATATTATATAATATTTATTTATTATATAATATAATATTTATTTATTATTATTAAAGATTTAATCGTTTTATAATGGGATGATTTTTTTCGCTGAAATATTTATACCTTATAAAAAAAATTATTTATTATAATTATATAAATTATAAATATTTATTTATCTTATTTTCTAGAAAATTTTTTTCGAAGGAAATATTATTGAAAAATGCTAATTTATCGAAAAATATAGTTGAGAAAATCGTAAATCAGTCATTAAAGCAATAAATATAAAAAAATGTGAAAAAATAAAAGAAATTCTAAAGTTTGGAGTGAAGCGGCAATTGTGTGAATGGAGAAATTAACCATTAGATGAAATATTTGGTGAAATTAGATATTAAAATATTCTTCTAACAGCTCTCGCTATTACTGGTTAAGCTGGATCCGCTGGCTAGAAGAGTAAGACTCTCCAAACTGCCTGGTCTGACGCCATCGATTGTAGTAATAGAAGCCATTCCTTTTTCCATCGTCTAAGTCCATATATTGCTGGTCCATCTATATGTTCAAAATCTTTTCTCGCCGTATCAGTCCAGGTTTTGATTGGCCCATCTCGCTTTTAACGCCAAGAATCACAGGGTTTAGCAAATAACAGAATATGCGTCAACTCCTGTGGTGGACCACGGAGAGCGTACCCTAATCAGCGAAGGCGACTCTGTGATAACATTATTAATGCAGGTGGTATTTGAACGATGGTGGATACAGTTCTATGGAAAATTAGCAATATTTTTGGCTTTTTTATTGCCAATATTTAATAAGGTTTCATTTTTTTAATGGCGGATTTGCTCTTATTAAAAGAAAAGAAATTGAATTTGTTGAATAATTAATTTGAATAATTAGCTGAATAATTTGTCGGTTAATTCTGCTGCAGTAATTTGGTTATAATTTAGCAAATATTGTAGAATGGAAACTAGGCAGCATTATGCTTAGTTCCTAAAAAAAAAGATGATAGAATAAATATGGTGGAAATGGAAATAATTAAATAGAAATTTTGGTGGAAACCTCTTTTTTGCTGAATAAACTATCAGTAGTAAATGATAAATGTTATTAGTAAGAGTATACATTCTAATCTAATTAGGTTTAGGTGGCTGCACTGATTAAATTTTCATGATAAGAAGGATATTGGAACATCATTTCACCTATTGATATTAAACCTTATTTTACTGATTTTTCATCATTGATTTCAATTTTATTAGAGTAACATGATTAAGAGAATGATAAAATATGGCAGTATTCCAGAGAAGATCATGAAATATGGAAATGTTCCAGAAAAAATCGTGGAATACGGAAGTGTTCCAGAATATGGAAGTGTTTCATTTGACCAATAAAGGCAGATATCATCGCAATCAGTCTGATAAGACTGTCATTTTTTTAAATTCACAAGTTTTTTTGAATTTATTCGTTAAGTTTCAGTTATTTCAGTTGGAGAAATTTTCTTGAAAATTTACTCGCTTTATCGATTTCACGAAATTTTTATTTAATAGTTAATAATTTAATAATTAATAATTTAATAATAGTTAATTAAAATAAATCATTTTTACGAAACAAAGAATTCTAACAAGTGATCGCCGTAGCATTTTTTAATAAAACAGCTGAAGTTAGAAAGAAAAAAACAAAGGCCGTGTGATCTCAAGCTATGAGCTTTTCTATACGTGTTGAAGAAACCTTTAGAAATTCCTCGAAATCCGTCGAAATTTTATGAAAAAAAGAAAAATCTTCAAGAAATATGTAATGAAGCGAATGAAAATATTCAATTGTTTAAGTATTTTTTATTTAATTATAAATATTTATAAATTATAAATTATTTAATTATAAATATTATTTTTTCTCATAAATATTTGCAATGTTATAGCAATTTCGTTAGTTTGATAAAATTATTGATAAAATTGTTAAAATTGAAATTAAATTTAAATTAAAATTGTTTAAGGAAAATTTCTGTTAAATCTATATAAATCTAATTCTTTTATTAATTACAAAATTACTAATTATAATAAAAAAATTATTAATATTATTGTTAACATTTTGGTTTTGCAAGCTAAAAAAGAAATAATTCTCATTCTCAATTTATTAATATCAATTTTAAGCAATAAATGAGAGGCTCTTCTAGCTTTTTGTTGCTTGATTTCTTTATAATTATTAGGATTGCGGCAAATTTCACCAGGAAGTCATTAAGAGATGGATATATAAGTGGAGAGATAGGATAGGTAGAGTACCATTTGAATTTCACTTCTATTGATAGGCTTATTCTTATTTATTTAACAGGAATCGAATTTATTATATTGAAATAGCATAGGACTTTTTATTTTATTATTATACTGAAATAGCATATTATACTGAATTTATTACACTGAAATAGCATAGGACTTGATCATCCTGTTTTTCATTCTTCACTTATCAATTATCAATTTATCAAACATTTATGCTCATCGAAAAATTCGAAGAATAGTGAATATTTAAAACAAATAGTATTTGACTAAGAAAACCATGAAAATATGCCTTGAAGGCGTAAAGCAGGAAAGCATTCATATATTTGCATATGAAAACCAAGAAGATGTATGAATAATAAATAAAAGAGAATAAATAATTAGAAAAATTTATAAAAAAAAAAGAGTGAAAAGGAACGGAGAAGAAATTTTAGAGGGTTGATTCCCTTGAATTCTTCTGGCATTTCGCTAACCTTTCTACTGTGAGAGGTTTTATCGCTTGCTTTTATTGCCTATGGCCACAACGAATTGTAAAATATTTACTGAGCAGTTATGATAGTCTCAAACCGGGGCAATTAAACCACATGATATAATTTATTGCATTTTAATTCGACTCTATAATTGTCATATGAACTATTGTATTAATTTCACACATAATTCTTATATTAATAATAATTTTGAAAACAAGAAACTCCTTATCCTCCCTGTACCTTCCCAAAGCTATAATATTCACAATGACGTTTGATGCACTTTTAGGCCAAGCAGAAATCGGCCATTTATGATTAGATTATCACTGATTGAAATTCCTGTCATGCGATAATTTGTATTTGTATTTGCATGATTCGTACCAATCTTCTTTTCAATAATATAATAGATGTATAGTTAATTTATTTCACTGATCCATAATGAAAATTTATTTCAGTAAAGAAAAATACAATAAAATACAATTAAAATACAATACGATAAAAATACAATAAATATAATAAAATAAATACAATACAATAAATATAAGAACTTTTGCTCTTAAAAAATTTATTGCAATACGAATTAAGATCATAATCACAATTAAATTAACAATTAAACTAATTAAAATAATATTCAGTATTTAATAATATTTAATAAAAATAATAACTAATATTTATATAAATATTTGATAATATTTAATTAAATAATTTTTTATAATATAAATATTTAATAAATATTTGACTAAATTAATTAAAATAGTATTTAATGCTTAAAAACATTTTTAAAAAACAATATTCAATTAAAATAATAAAAGAATATTTTAATATTTTTAAAAATGAATTCAAATAATTTAACTAATTAGTTTAACTATTTAATAAATTTTCCAATATTTTTCGAAACTATTTATATTTATATTATATACTA